GTCCTAGTTCCTCAAAAACTTCTCAGATATTGATGATTTCTCCCAGTTATCCTCTTGGACCCATAGCACCCAAACTACCTGGTTCCAACATTAGCTAGTAACTGGCTGCCATGAGATCTATTGGAGTTTCTGGTTCCTTGTCTATAAAGAACAATAACAGAATTTAGAAGATCAATTTGTTTTGAGCATGCAGAAAATTCTAAGAACACTGTCTAGCCCATGATGTGTTGGACAAAAGTAACCATTTGTTTTTGTGTTGGTCCTGGGGCTTAAACTCAGGGCCTGGGCACTGATCTTTGAACTTTTGGGCTCAAAGTTAGTGCTCTACCACTCTTACTCAGCTCCATTTCCAGCCTTTTGGGAGCTAATTGAGATAGGAGTTTCATGGATTTTTCCTCGCAGGCAGGCTTTGAACCATGATCATCAGATCTCAGCCTCCTGAGTAGCTAGGATTATAGTTGTGAGTCACTGGTGCCTGGCTAAAAGCAACTATTATTGTTAATTGGTACCCGCTCTGTGGAGATACACAATATGAAAGAAATGGTGCCTGCCCTCAAGAAACTTGTATCAGCCTAGGTGCTGGTGGTTCATGCTACTCAGGAGGCTGAGATCTGAGGATTACAATTCAAAGCCAGCCTGGGAAGGAAAGTCTGTGAGATTCTTATCTCCAATAAACCACTCAGAAAACCAGAAGTGGCACTGTGGCTGAAGTGCTAGCTTTGAGCTGAAGAGCACAAGGACAGCGCCCAGGCCCAGAGTTCAAGCCCCATGATCGACAAAAAAAGAAAAGAAACTTGTGTCATGTAGATCATGTCTGAATCCAGTCAATACCCCAGTGAATAAAACTAATAAAAGCATTTGTGAAGTATAAAATGCATTTATAAGAATAAAATGCAAATCTCCATTATAGTCTGTAAGACCCCGTGTAATCTGGTACCTGCTCAGCTCTTCCACCTCATCTGATTCAACTCTTCTTTTCAACCCTTGTTTTTCACTGTCCTTTGTGTCTCTCAAATATGCCAAGCCCTTTTCCACCTTGAGGATAGCATATGTCCTGCTCTCCCTCTCCATTCTATTGCCATATTAAATCCTATATCCTCAGAAAGGCCTTCCTGGCTTTCCAAGTTAGATTTGCCCTCCCACTCTCTAAGCCCCTTACCTCTACAGTACCTTCCAATCTCATAACACTGTTTCTTTCTTTCTTTTCTTTTTTCTTTTTGTCAGTCATGGGGCTTGAACTCTGGGTCTGGGTACTGTCCCTCAGCTCTTCAGCTCAAGACAAGCACTCTACCTCTTGAGCCACAGCGCCACTTCCGGTTTTCTGGTGGTTTATGGGAGATAAGAGTCTCATGGACTTTTCTGCTTGGGCTGGCTTTGAATCATGATCCTCAGAGCTCACCTTCCTGAGTAGCTAGGATTACAGGCGTGAGCCACCGGCACCCAGCTTCACTGTGTTATTTTCTTCGTAGCGCTTGTTATCATCAGAAATTACCTTGTTTCCTTGGTTGTCATATGTCTTCTCCTAAAATGTAAATTTTATGTCAATTACCTTATCTGGCTTGTTCAGATGTCTTTCTACAATTTAGAACAGAAATGTTTTCTGTATAGTAGATGCTCAGTAAATATTTGGTGAGTGGATGAATGACAAAGGACAAAGCTATATAATCCCAACTTCTCCTTGGGGAGATACTGTCCCTGTGCTGGGGGTAAGGGGTTATTGCACTCTTTTATTTTAAACATTTTTATTATTATATCTTTAAGTCATTGTACAAAGAAGTTCCCATTCTACAAGGTGTGTAGAATACAAGGTGTCTGACAACATTGTCACCCAGCGCTCCTAACCCATCCCTTCTCTCACTTTTTTTTAAAAAATTGAGATTAGATGATTACATAAATTCCACATATTTCACAGTATTGTGGAACAGTGATACTTAGTTAAAGTCACAAACACATTTTAACCTTCTCAAGGCAAATTGTCATTATCATGGTCTATAAAATTTGTGAATTCTATGAGCTTTGACAATACAAATTATGTCTTCCACATCAGGTGATGTTTACATTTCTTTCCTTTTGCTTAGTGTAGGCTGTTCCCTCTTTCCCTTTCATTCCTCCCTTCCCATCGCTGTCTTTGTCTTGCTTAGTTCTTTTTCTTCTATGTCCAGTGCAGCTCATGGGCCCCTTTATGGTTATTGCACTCGTTATCTTGCTAACTGCAGTTCTCCATCTGTCTCTCAGGCCAAACTGGGTCCTCTTTGAAAGCAGATTCCTGAGCCTAAGCATTTTGCAGCGGATTATATTAAAAGTAATTAGCAACCTAACTGGACATTGGTAGCTAACACCTGCAATCCTAGGTACTCAGGAGCTTGAGATCTGAGGATCATGGTTCAAAGCCAGCCTAGGCAGGAAAAGTCTGGGAGACTCTTATCTCCAGTTAGCCACTAAAAAGCCAGAAGTGGAGCTGTGCCTTAAATAGTAGAGTACCAGTCTTGAGCAAAAAAGCTAAGGGACAGCACCTAGCCCCTGAATTCAAGCCCCTCCCCCCAAATAACAGGAATTAGCAACCAATACCAATATCAGCTACAAATGAGAACATGAGAGGTGTGTTGTGGAGAGCTCCATCTGTGCCAGACATTTACCCTTTAGTTGCTGGACCCTAGGCAGGTGTGACACAGGTTGTTCATGATTGCTTACTTACTTGCAGGTGCAGTAATATTCCACCATTTTAATACCCAGTGGTCTTGCCTTGGGGAGCTGAACTTTAACTGGCTTGCTGAGTTCTGTGGATACTACACTATTTCGGGAGTTGAGGTCTAGAATAACTAAGCTGCTTGGTGTTTTTGTGGTCCTGCAGGTGTATGTCTCCCTCCTTCCGGCTCCTGCATCAACACACATGCCTACCAATGAATTGGGAAGAACAGGGAGAGGACACAAGTGCTCAAAAGCTGGACCAAAACTTCAAGGCAAAAGGTGAGGACTTGAATATCTTTCTGGAAAGGTGCAGGACAAGCTTATTCTAGTTCTCTGCAAGCCCCAAGAGCATTTCCAAGCCAAGGGTTGGAGGTATATTCCATCACGTTTGCTCTGCTCCTTCCTTGTATACCCCAACCTCTTTTCTCAGGGTCCCAGCAATAGAATTCTAGCCCTCTTTTCCAACACATTAGACCCAAATGGGTGTGGAACATGTTGGGAGGATACCCTTCCTGCTGGGTGAACCTTCCTTGGCTCCCGCCCCCGGTATTCTCCCCATTGCCACCCCCATATCCCCACACCCCCGAGGATTCCCTGGAAGCTGAGGTGACTCAGGGATTCCAAAACTAGTCACCCCAGGAGGAAACCCTCTGGAAAATGTTTCTCATGGCAGGGAGTCACCCTAAAGAATCACACAAAGCTGCTACGGAGGAGATAAGGATGGAGGCTGAGCAAACCGGGGTGGGGTGGGGGCATGTGGCTCAGGTACTCCCGTCAGGCTTGGTCATTATGAGATGAGAAAGACTGTGTGGTTAGAGGTGTTTCCTCTGCCCTAAGGTACAGAAGCAAAGAGCTACCCCCAATAGGCTTTCCTGAAGGGCAAGGTCCCAGTCACCCAGTCCAAGACCCTTCTGGAGTCAATAGTTGAAATAAAAAACTAGAGTCACTTCCAGCCCCTTTGAACACCTTTTCCTGCACAGAGGTCGAGGGCAAGATCCAGTTCTGCTCCCTCAAACTTGGGGATCTGATTGTCAGGAGCAAGGACACCCATAGAAATCCAGTTCTTTGAACACAGTACTGCTCTAAGAGCCTGTTCTGGGGTTGAGGGTTGCTTAGGAACAGCAGAAGCCACCCTGAGACCATGTGCCAGACCAAAGGCTAGGAAACAGGAAGCAGGAACTGTGGATTCCAGACAGCAGGCAAAATGCCTAAGAGGGCAGGAATGCCCTGTGGCTTTGGGTAGATACAACCCAAGCCCAGGTGAGCAGGAAAGCATTCCCAAGGAGTGGGGGCTCCCCTTTCTTCACAGCCCACTAAAGATGGCCATAGCTTCCTGCCAGAAACTTAGATTTAGATTTGTTCAGGGCTGGAATGGAAAAGTGGCTCAAACCCTTTCTAATTATGTGACCTCAAGTAGGTTCCTAAATCTCATTAGGTCACACTCAGTTTCCTCATCTGTAATTGGAGGATAATAGTTTCCATGTCCACGGTCTTCCAGTCAGGATAAAAAAAATGACACATGTGCAGGGCTTAGCATCATGCCTGGCACATGGGCATATATGGAGCAAAAGCAGCATTGTATGAAGGGGAAAACACATGTCTGGGAGCATAGGGGCAAGGGTGGGTTGAGAGTGGGTGATGATATTCCTGTCTTCATAGTTCTTTCTAAGTATTTGTGCATTTCAAGTCACCACTGGTTTCTACTATGTCACCTCCAGCCCTCCCTTCCATCTCAGAACTCACCAGAGAAACTTCTCCCAGTTTTGTAGAATACTCTCTACTACCCTCTCTCTCTTTTGGGGCTGCCTTGCCTTCACTGTAACATTAGAAAGATTCCCCCTCACTCTAGGTGTTTTAAGTTATTCCTAGTTCCCTTTGTTTATTTCCCGAGTCCTTGGTTACTACAGGAGTATTTTCTGAGGGAAAGCACATGCAAATCAGTATGAATTATTCTAGAGACAATGTCTGTGTATGAGTGTGTTGGGGTGGGGTGCTCCATGGGCTGGAAGAACCAGGCCTGGAGGAAAGTAAATGTGTACAACTCCTCTCCAGTAAGGGGGGACCCTAGTCAATCTCTGTCTTTCTGGAACATGAATATTCCCTCCTGGCTAGTAGAGCCCCATGTTACCAAGAGATACTGAAGTTGAATGTATCCCTTCACTCCCACTACCACCCATGGCCTGAGAGGGGCAGCTATCCATCTTGCTATCAATCTATTTATCTTGCCCCTATGCCCCAACAAGTCAGATCTCCTGTTGGTAAAGTTGTCACTGTGCGAATCCTCCTCCTTGCTCCACTATCTCATCGATGCAATGGGAACAATCACCTACAACTTCTTCCAGCAGGCCTTGCCCATCCAACCAAGAGACTGCTGCATCAGAGCCTTCCTGATTAATCTGCAGGGTGAAGCCTATAACTTAATCCCAAGGAAAGAGGCCAGGGAAAGTGTGGGGTAACAACTGGACAGAATGAGGGCAAGTCATAGAATGTGTAATGGACAATGAAGGTGACATTCTAGATGATGGGTTTGTAGGAATTGGGAGCAGAGAACAAAGGGGAATCAGGGTCAAAGGAAGTGGAGTGGAAGGAAAGTATTCACTAGCGTGTGTCATCAGGTACATCTGGGAAGAAGGGAAGAGTGGAGGTTAGACCCTAGGTGGGAGGTAGCAAACCAAACAGGGAAATCCCTATAAGGCCAGTCTACAAAGACCCACAATAGTAGAATGCTATTGCTTTTACATCCCCACGCCCTGGAAAACTGCAAAGATCAAAGCTAATAATCATGCTCATCACAACTTCCATGAGAGGAGCTTTTGGAAATGCTTTCAGGTTTTGTTTTGTTTTTTGTTTTTTTTTTTGCTTTGTTTTTCTTTTCTTTTTTAATCTCAAGACACTCCCTCCAAAAGATAGTGGAAATAAATTTGAATAAGCAAAACAGGTTTGCTGAACATAAAACCAAGGCTCCTTGCCTTCCACACTCAGCCTGCTTCCAGAAGGCCTGTGTGTCAGTGAGACAGCACCTGTGGCTGAGTGAGCAGCAGCCAGCATGAACCAGGTGAGCCCGCTGATGGTTGGCAGAGGATGCTGCCACGAGGGTGGAGGGGGGCCGGTCTCGCAGCTCCAGGATCTCAGGGAGCCACTGGGGGTGAGGGGAGGCTGGATGGAAGGGGTCCAGATTTGGTGAGAACAGTTCTCTTACTGGTCTCTGCCTACAGGTGGTTGTATTCTTGGCAATGATCACGGGAACCCTCAGTTTTCGGGTCCAGAGGGACTGCAGCCACTTGCCCAGATGTTGCCCCAGCAAAGGACAGGAATTCCCTGAGGACTGGCTGAAGTGGACCACTGTGCCTGTGACTCCCCCAGCACCAGCCAGCCTCCCCCACAACCCAGCATTCTGCAGGGCCAGCGAAGACGGACCCCTCAACAGCAGGGCCATCTCCCCCTGGAGATACGAGTGAGTCTGCTGTCCCTTTACTGAATGCCTGCAAAATGTCACCCAGATGTGCTGTCAGGACACACATGAGGAGCTCTCCTTAATTCCAGCCTACCTTTCTCTTCTCTTTTTCTGTGCCCTACTCCCTCCCTTTCTCTTTTAATAACAGAAAGTCTGGCAAGGTCTAAAAGTTACACAGATCTAGATTGGAGCATCGACTCTGATTCTCATTGGGTAACTTTGAGCCAATAACTGGCAAGTTTTCAAGGCAGCTTCTCCTCCTCCTCCTCCTCCTCCTCCTCTTCCTCCTCCTCCTCCTCCTCCTCCTCCTCCTCCTCCTCCTCCTCCTCCTCCTCCTCCTCCTCCTCCTCCTCCTCCTCCTCCTCCTCCTCCTCCTCCTCCTCCTCCTCCTCCTCCTCTTCTTCTTCTTCTTCTTCTTCTTCTTCTTCTTCTTCTTCTTTTCTTCTTCTTCTTCTCCTATAAAATGAGACTAAAGCCTATGGGGCTAATGTGCAGATCAATTGAAATAATAAGTTCGTAAAATTCAGTTCAGACCTTTCTCTCCCTCCCTCCTCTCTTTTTCCTCCTTCCTTCCTTCTCCATGGTGGTTCACGGTTTTTTTGTCTAAATAACAGGCAATATTAGCATGATAAAAGCATAAAAATATTCTAGTACCAAATGCTACTGTCCAGAGCTAGGAAGAGATGAAAAGCATGCTACAAAAATTAGCCACCAAACTTTTCAGGGCAGGGGTGGTAGGATCCTTGGGCTGGTTATCTTTGATCATAATCATGGTTATCTTATTCTCCTGTACAGTATACCACATAAATACTATAATTCTATCTTCATGCCATGATGTGAAAAATACAAGGAATCCCTGAAATACAGACAAAAAGCTAACGAGGAAAAATAATGACATTAGGGATCACAAACATATTTTCTTCTGTATTATGTCCTCATTGGGAGTCTGTTCCTATTTCCCATGAGTCTAGTTCTATTTAGCTTTGGCTTTGGGGATGGATAGAGTTTAGTGTTTTAGGGAGGGGACCCCTTTGACTGAGATTAGGTTTTAGGTGGAAAATACTTTGGTCCTGAGGCAAATCTGACTGTGTGAGAACCTCTTTGGGAAAGCTGGGTGCCAGATGAAACTGATTCAGCTGGGCCCTAGATTCCTTGTTAGGAGGCTGTGAGCCCTTGATCTGTCTCAGGGTTCCCTAGAGGGTGTTCTGTGTAATACTTATCGATGAAATGAGGTGCAAATATTCATCTCAGAAAAAAACAACAATATCAAACAAGTTTAGAAAAAGGCAGCTTCTGCCCCATTGGAGTCTCATTTGACATCAAAACCTTTACTTGCAAGGTATTTCTTTCATTAGCTGAACCCCAGTTTGCCAAGGTTTGTCTGTATGGAGTAGTCTTACAAGCTGGGGGTTTTCTGCTTAGAGTACGGGGTATCTACTTTTCCATGGCTTTTAAGCCTCTTTCTCCACCATGAAATCCTTTCAGAGTAGGTCTATGTCTTCCCATGAATCCCTAAGTGTGATAATAATGTGTGCTTGGATACAGCTCCCCCTGGGGAGTAGAATTGGAGAGTGCTAGTCTTTATCATATATCCTTCTATATACTTGGCTGTCAGAACAATGTATAGTTTTGCAATAATAGTAATGAAAAAAATTCTAAATGAAGCTGGGTGCCAGTGGCTCATGCTTGCATTCCTAGCTGAGATCTGGGGATTTCAGTTCAAAGCCAGCCTGGGCTGACAAATTCAAGAACCTCATCTCCAATTTATCAGCAAAAAGCTGAAAGTGGAGGAAAAGCCAAAGAAGAGTGTGTGGCCCTGAGTTGAAGTCCCAGTATCAGAGCTTGAAAATTATAAAATGTAGTAATAAGGATAATATTGCATAAGGAGCCTTATGCTGGAGCCTCTTGTATTTATCAGAAGGAAGCAGAGCTTGTCTGCTGGAGGCTGAAGCAGGAGGCTACTCACCCACTCCCATTTTCTTATGGACTCTGGACCAGTTGGAAAGCAGCTCTTTCATCCCTTCTGCACACTTACAATTGAGGAAAATAAAGAAGGGGGTGCTTTGATAGAAGTTATACAATAGGTATCAGATCTGAGGTACTTACTTCTGGACACTGGTGGCTCATACCTGTAATCTTCACTTCTCAGGAGCCTGAGATCTGGGGATTTCAGTTCAAAGCCCAGCTTGGGGCAGGAAAAAACCACCCAGAAATGGAGCTATGAATCAAGTAGTAGAGCACCAGTCTTGAATGAAAAAAGCCAAATAAGAACAACAGGCCCCGAGTTCAAGCCCCAGTACTGGCATGCCTGCACGTGTAGGTGCCTGTGTGTGTGTGCACACACACATGCATGGAGGAGGAGGAGGAGGAGGAGGAAGAGTAAGAGGAGGAGGAGGAGGAGGAGAAGGAGGAGGAGGGAAGGAAGGGAGGAGAAGGAGGAGAAGGAGAAGGAGAAGAAGAAGAAGAAGGAGAAGGAGAAGAAAGGAAAGAAGGAGAAGAAGAGGAAGGAAGGAGAAGGAGAGGAAGAGGAAGAAGAGGAAAATTAGAAGAAGCCAGGTACCATGCAGGTATAATGGTATATGTCTGCCCTATACTGGAGGCTGAAACAGTAGAGTTATAGGTTTGAGGCCAGACTGTGCTACAAGATGAGACCCTGTCTAAACAAACAAACCAATGGCCAAATTGTCAGCAGCACCAGTTCCTTCCTCTAGTCTCCCCACTCCACCCAGCCCTCCCTGCTTCTGGCCTGACTCACCAGATCCTGACCAGTACCATCTTTGCAGGTTGGACAGAGACTTGAACCGACTTCCTCAGGACCTGTATCATGCTCGCTGCCTGTGTCCACACTGTGTCAGCCTACAGACTGGCTCCCACATGGACCCACTGGGCAACTCAGAGCCTCTCTATCACAACCAGACTGTCTTCTACCGGCGGCCATGCCATGGGGAGCAGCAAGCCCGGCACCGCTACTGCCTGGAGCGCAGGCTTTACCAAGTCTCCTTTGCTTGTGTGTGCGTGCGGCCCCGGGTGATGGCCTAGTCCTCTGCCAGCCACCAGAGGCTTATGCCTAGATGGGAAAACTGGAGCCAGGTGTCCAATTCCTTTGCCACAGTGGGCCAAGGTATCCAAAGTCTTGGTTTTTCCAGAGAATTACCTGGAACAGCAGGATCCTGGGACAGGATGGGGGGGGGGGAGGATGGGGGGGGGCTTGGGGAGAAGCCTACACTTTTGCACTTTTTTGGAAGCACTTTTGGAAGGTAGCAGCTTCAACTTAAGGCTGCTAGAAGCTGGTGTCCTGACATTTCTTCTCAGGGAAGAGTTACAAAGCATTACCCACCTCTGGAAGCCACACTTTGGGCTTTCCCTCTTCTCCTATCTCCAGCTGCCCTGACCCAGCACAGGCACTTTGTTGATTTTATTTTTCCCCTTTGGCCCTCCATTCATTCATTTATTCATTCATCAAATACTATGAAAGCATATGCTTTGCACGTACCCGGCTGTAATGACTTATCCTTTTACATGGATCATTTTGAGGAGGAAACTGTTATTGAAATGGAGAATTTTACCAAATAAATATCTAGATTTAAAAATGGTGTCCTCTGTCTTTGGCATCCGTGGCACCTGAAACACCCTGTAGTTCTCCTTAACACCAGCCCTCACCTACTGCTTCCTGCCTGCTCTTCTTGTCCTCCAGTTTCCCAGGTGCTCTCCCGCTCTCTCTCCTCTCTAGCTCTTTGGCCATCACTGAACACCAGGGTGGGGGCAGGCCAAGCTACATGCTGGAGAAAGACAGAGGCCCATTGAGGTACTTGCAGTGGGCACACAGCGCCCCCTTGTCTCCTCAACAATCTGCCTTTGTCCTCTGGTCCTGGCTGCTGCAGCTTGGTTCTGGGGGTGCTGCCTGTGCTCAGCTCCCACCCATCCTAAAAAGAAAAAAAAAAAAGAAAGAATCAGCCAGATTAAGGTTATGGGAGGGGGCACAAACTTCTTCAGACTTAGGTCACAGGGGTTTCTAGCTCTGTGCTTGTCTTTCTGCTTACTTCCTAGCTCCTCTGGCTTCCTTCTGACCTCCTTCCTTCTCCCTTTTCCAGGCTGGGGTGGGCTGGAGTAAGAGAGGGCTTAACCACGCCTCCCCTACCCCTCCCATGTCCTGGGGGCTGGTGCAGGCCACAGAAGAGGCACTCTGGGCAGCTGGGTGAAACACATCTGGGTAGGCCTCCCTTGACTGTCACCTTCTCTTGGAGCCCCACAGGCAGGGCCCTGCTTGACTTTAAGATTTCTTTAAGTGCCCTCTTGCTCCTGTCTATCTATTTTCCCCCTCCTGCCAGCTTTTGGTTTCCTAGGACTGTGCCCCGTGAGCCTGACGGAGATGTTCAGCGCTTGGAATCGCTGGGACCGGCCTCCTGAGGAGGGGGCAGCTGCAGAGCTCCAGGGCTTCGCTGTGGACAAGACTTTCCTGTCTTCCCTCAAAGGCATACTGCTGGAGACTGAGCTGGTAACAGCTACTTCCCCAACCTCATGTCGCGCCTCCATTTCTCCTATCCCTGGCTCCGTGGTGCAGCCCTGTGCTGATCCCTGCTCAGGCTCACCAGTAACAATCCCCTTCCTGGGCTTTCTGAATCCTTCTCCTGATCCCTGCTGCATCTTCTTTATCTCCTACTTCTCCTCCTCCTTCTCAATCTCCTTCTTCTTCTTGGTATTAGTACTGGGGCTTGAACTCAGGGCCTGGGTGCTGTCTCTAAGCAATTTTGCCCAAGGCTGATTCTCTACCACTTGAGCCACAACTCCACTTCCAGGTTTTTTGATAATTAATTGGAGAGTTTTGTGGACTTTTCTGCCCAGGCTCTTTGAACCACAATCCTCAGAGCTCAGCCTCTTGAATAGCTAGGATTACAGGTGTGAGTCACCAGTACCCAGCTCTACTGGGCCTTCTTGCTGCCTCTCCATCCAGAGGCACGTACAGCAAGTTTAAGTTGCAGCAGGACAGAGTGAAGTTAGATGGAAGAACAACTTTCTGAGATATTGAGGGGATATAAGACACAGGGAAGGAATGGATGGGGGAATGTGGTCTGACTTTCCCCAGCCTTTAACATAAACTATCAAAAAGGCAGACTTCCTGTAGCTACACTAATGGTGACTGCTGCCCATGGATATCTACTCAGGAAACGAACTAGCTCCTGGTTACTTAGTAAGAGCACAGTGCCAGCCTAAGGCCTCTGCATATCTGCTATCCCATATGGCCAGGAAGTGGCTTTTTCTAAGCCTTCTTTTCTTTCTTTCTTTCTTTCTTTCTTTCTTTCTTTCTTTCTTTCTTTCTTTCTTTCTTTCTTTCTTTCTTTCTTTCTTTCTTTCTTTCTCTTCCTTCCTTCCTTCCTTCCTTCCTTTCTCTCTCTCTCTCTCTCTCTCTCTCTTTCCTTTCTTTCTTTTTTTTTTGAGTCCAGTCGTGGGCCTGAACTCTGGGCCTAGGCACTATCCCTCAGCTCTTCAGCTTAAGGCTAGCGTTCTACCACTTGAGCCACAGCACCACTTCTGGCTTTTTTCTTTTTGCTTATGTGGTGCTAAGAATCGAACCCAGGGCCTCAGGCATGCAAGGCAAGTGCTCTACCACTGAGCCACCTTCCCAGCCCTAAGCCTTTCTTAAGGTGGAATCAAAAGCTATGGTTCCTGTAAGTGGAGTTTTAGGCACTCTGGAGTGAAGAAAGCATTAATGGGACCAGTGATGCCTCCTGAGGCATAGGAGCTGTAGGCTCAACTTCAGGGGTCAGTGTGTACCTTGTATTTGGTGCATCTGGGGACACCATTTCCTGGTGGCTGTGGTCAAAATATTGGTGCTACTATGATCTCTGGGCTGATGGAAGCAGGAGGTTGGAGATGACCCCTGATTGACAAAAGGTTTGGAATGGTGGCCATTGACACTGGAAATGGGAGACATGCCTGAATTCTTCTTCCTCCTCACCAAAGACCAGTAGTAGGTGCCACTTGGGTCAATCCAGAGTAGGGGAATCCTGTGCATGGTCCCCTCCTTGGCAATTCCCCCGTGGTTGGTCCTTCAGGCTCTGACCTTCATCATCTTCATCTGCTTCACGGCCTCCATCTCTGCCTACATGGCTGCGGCACTGTTGGAGTTCTTCATCACGCTCGCCTTCCTCTTCCTATACGCCACCCAGTACTATCAACGCTTCGATCGGCTTAACTGGCCTTGTTTGGTAAGGAATCCTGCCACTGCCCTGTCCTGGTCCTTCCCTTCCCCCTCTGGTGGCTGTGCCCATCTGAGCTTTGCTCTATGCTGTACCCTGTGCTCTAAACAGTGCTTTTGATCTGGGTGCTGATGGCTCACACCTATAATCCTAGCTACTTAGGATGCTAAGATCAAAGGATTGTACTTTGAAGCCAGTCCTAGCAGAAAAGTCTGCACAATCAGCTAATAGTCAGAAATAGAAGTGGCTCAAGTGATAGAGTACCAGTCTTGAGCAAAAAAGCCAAGCAAGAGCATACACACACACACACACACACACACACACACACACACACAAAAAAAACCTAACCCCCCAAATAAGCAACAAACCCTCTTTTCTTGGACCCACACTGGTGACACACTGAAGGGCCCCAGCTAAAGTGGAGGACATATATTCCTTAGATCTGTTCTCCCATTTACCAAAAGCCCAGTCTCTGCTCTGCCCCAGCTGGTGCTCCTGGCTGGTCCCCTACCACCACCCTCAGCCACTGCGCCTGGTTGTTCGGCATTCGCCTGCTTCCATTCCCTGGTTAGCATTGTGGGCCCACTCTCTCCAATGTGCTTCTTTGCATCCCAGGACAACCTTATGTGAAAATTCAGAATCTTCTCTGTAGATTCTATGTGGAAAATGAACTATGCAACTTGTGGGTAGGAACAGGAGAGAGAAACAGAGAGAACAAAGGAAGGGATGACATTGTCCAAAAAGAAATGTACTCAGTTTAACGGATTTATGAAACAGTAAGCCCTCTGTGCAATACCTTAATAATAACAACAAAATTATATTTAGAAATTCAGAATCCTGAGGCTTAGGGAGCTGATTAGTCTGGAAAATCTCTAATGGTACCCCTTCTACTTTCTGATGTCACTCCTTACTCTCCAGGATTTTCTTCGCTGTGTCAGTGCCATCATTATCTTCCTGGTGGTATCCTTTGCTGCTGTGACCTCCCGGGAGGGAGCTGCCATTGCTGCTTTTGTGAGTTCAGCCCTGCAGGGCTCTTTAACCCCTTGGAACCTCTGGCTAGTGTTAACACACTTCCTGTGCCCAATGCTAAAGCCAGTGATTGGGGTCTAGACCATACCCCTCTTCTTATTACCCACCTTCCTCTCCCTTAATTCAGTAGTCCAATAGCCTCTGCTGTGTACTCTCTGTTTCTCCTCCCACAGGTTTTTGGTGTCATCCTCGTTTCTGTCTTTGCCTACGATGCTTTCAAGATCTACCGGACTGAGATGGCACCCCAGGCTACCCAGGGTGAGTGTCTGTGCCCTGAGAAAGAGGATGCCCCCAACTCTGTCCCAGGTAACATAGCCAGACATGGCTTCCCTGCCTGGGCTCCATCTTCACAGGGGACCAGCAGTGACTCTAGGCTTACCTGGCTCCGAGACTCAGCCAGACACAGGGACCATGGAGCTCAAACACCTCTCCTTTGGATTTACTTGCTCCCCAGCCCACTGTTCACCCCAGATCAACAGAGACATGTGCCTAAGAAGTCACTGGGGACATATCTGATGGGGCCAGAGAGGGTGGGGGGAGGGGAAGGGATGTTACTGTGCTCTCAAGTCATTTCCAAATTAAAAGATTCATAATCTACTGTTGAGTCGTTGACTTCTTCTTCAGATTTTAGGCAGGTTAGGAATGCCAAGATGTATTCACGGATATGTCTGGAGCAAGTCCTGGCTCCTTGTCTGGGACCAGGTTTGCGCAGTGAGGAGGTAAAACCTAGCCCAAGATCAAACTTCTAAAACTCGGACATCAGAGGAGGGAGAGATCCCCATAATGCTGTGTGCAACGCCACTCTGGTGTGCT